GAAGAAAAATCAAGTCACGAGTGGGATCTTCACGGTATTCACGCTTGCTCTCCTTATATGTAAGCTGCCTTTTGTGAGAAATAATAATAATAAAAAAAAGAAAATTAGCTAATTGAAAGGGCAGAAGGGGAAGGCGAAACGCTAGTAATATGAGTTCTGAGGGTGACCCAACTCCCCCCCCCCCAAAAAAAAATGAAATTTATGTTGATTGTAACGTGCGTAAAAAAAGAAAAAGTGGCCAGTATTGTCGCTAAATAGTTTAAAAGCCACTGAAAAAAGTAGATTAGATTTCAATTGAAATATCAATGCAATTGATTAATGTCGTTAAATAGATCAACATATATATTTTTGTGTATAATTATTATTGTTTTCTATTTTTTATTTGCCACACAATAATAAAAAAATAAGTTATATTTTACAAACTGATAAAGGATTAGTAGACAAAAGAAGTGGCGGGGAGACCTGACAGAACCTATAGGAGTTTATGATACGTTAATTGGCCTCCTCGAAATACAGGCTAGAGCTGGAGTAAAAGATGGAAACGTTTAAGATCGGTTTCCATATTTACTTAATAATTTAATCCTCAATATTAATTTTTCTTCAAGGAGGAAGAGGGATTGAGAAAAATGGCGAGAACTTCTTAGTGTTTGTTTGACAATGGTAGACGGTAGGCCTGGGAATTTCTTGCATTGTAAGAGTGGAATTGATTGCTTTGGGAGAAATTGTCCTTGGAGATAAGAATGCATTTTTGGAAGAATACATAAACTGGCCCAGGTGAAGCAAATGGATGTAATTAAATTTTAGTATACCGAGTTCCTCAAAGTTGGGGTCTGTATGAACATTGAAATGTGATTTAACAAGGAGGTGGAGATTGGTTTTATATGCCATAGCCCAAACTATATTGCAATGGTAGGATAATAAGGGATTGTTTTTTCTCTCTCTCTCTCTCTCTCTCTCTCTCTAGAAGAAAAGTAGGGCACTTTTGTAACACTTTTCACTAATAAAGATAGCTTCAACAATTCTGTTTGCTGCAAATTCTTTCAAGGTCAGAAACGTACTTAAACACGTGTTCCCAATGAATGCTATATATACCCAGGAGGTTACAAATGCGCCCTATGTTGTGGTAACAGCCAATTTAAAGACTAAAAACCCCATTTCTTGGTCAAAATGGAGCTATTACTTTACCATTTATACGCCACATGATTCTCTTGATTACCACATTACTTGAAATTTGAGTTATAAAAGCTAGAAAAAATCTGCCGTGTAAGTATATGACTCTTCATGCCGATGACAAGAATCAAAGATGGGAAAAAGGCCATTTTTTGTTTTGCAAGTTTGAAGAATCAATTCCATCAGTTATACTTGACCAAACTAGCTCAAACTGAAGTATGATGAAGAACAATCATTAGGCAATATACCAACGAAGAAAGTAAGGAGAAAATGGGCTCTTTCATTTTTTAATAAATTTTTAAAGTTATCAATGTGCGAAAAACGGCAACGTTACAAAAGTTCCCTATTTGCTAGATGTTCCAACGCTGTTAATGAGATATTTTTTTTGAGAGATAATAAACAATATTGCTGTCAAATTAAAGGCTATCAAGACAGCAACAAGTGACGTAAAACACTCGTCCATTCCTTTTAAGGGAAGGGAGTTACAGCTACGGAAAGTGTTTGAAACACAAACGCAAGATAACCTTATGAACTGATGAACTAGTTTGAATTACTACGGGGGTATTTAACAGATATAAATTCATCAGTTGTATCCTTAACAACATGAAGAAATTCGCTCTCACTTGAAGCAATTCGCTCTTACCTTATGGATCACAACACAGCTTTTTTTTCGAAGATTGTGCTTAGCAATCGCTCACAGCAATTAATCGCTGGATAACACATTGAAGCACAATGTTAGTGCGGAACAAGTAAACATTCCTTTCTCTGAAACAGTGCTTTGAGTTGTCTTTATAGACCATTGATCAACAAAAATACGTTCACGCCGATTACTTTGCAAAACCGACACAAGAAAAAGTGCAATCTGGTCTGGCCTCATGTTGCCTGTACCACACTACATGTAATATTCGGTACTTCTTATAGTTTACTCGTCTATATTTATAATTATCTTTGAAATGTCTAGCTCCCGCTACAATGCTTTCTGGCGTAGTAAACTGCATAATTACAGCGTTGGAGGCAAAAACATACAAAATCCTCTGTTTTTTCAGAGAGAATGTTAGCGCCACACCCATATTTCCCCTGGACCCTCATTTTTAGGGACTAGATTATGTTCGACCTCGCTAACACTTCACACGGGTAAAAACTGTGATAGTTCAGTGGTCTTAAGCTGCTTTAGAAGAGACTTTCTTCACTTATTTTTTAGAGTCCAAGAGTGCGCGTTTCATAGCTCGAACAATTTTTTTTAACCTCAGCCCATAGGTTGTTGTTCATACCAAGACCGCAGTCCTGTCTTGCGCTTTTATACCCACTCTTCAGTCTCAGTGCGTTTTTTAAGATACTGGCCGTTTTGCCTATGAAGATATAAAACGCTTAGGCAATAACACACACACACACCCACACACATATAAACTAAATAATGAACCAGTCTCCCCATCCGTTATCTACACCATTAAAGCACATTTTGGTACCTTGACGCCCTGCGACAAGAATCATGGGAAGATTACGTAAGGACTCAGTTTATTTTTCCACGTGCAGTGAACTTTCAGACATGACAGAGTTGGCTGCCGTCTCTTCGTCATTAAAGGTAAGCTTCTTCTGTACTTTAAAAAGCATGATACATACTATGGTATAAAATTTCCGTTCTTATGTTGACACTTTCTTTGATCAAACGTTCTCAAACCGTGGTGAAGTTAGGTAAAAGCCTACATCAGTTTCCAGTTTAAATGCCGACATGCACGAAAGTCTGCAAGTTGCGTTCGCTCATAATTTACGTCGATAATAAAGAGCTAACGAGCTAACTGATCACAGGAAATGTAAATTTAAAAGTTTAACGACATTTATTCTTGGAACGGCATGTTTTTTTTCGGTTCTACAAGTCTGCGACGAACACGAGAGTATTTACGATGTTGATGAATGGAAATACACGGGCTAGACAAGGCTATGATTTCGCTTTTTTTGAACAAGTAACTAGTCTTACAGCAACTAGATCTTTACGAAATGATTTTCGTTTGATAATTTGCAAAACAAATCCGAAACAAATAATGTCAGGAAAAATAAATGTTAACAACAACTAAGCTAACGAGCTGACTGATCACTGGAAATGTAAATTTAAAAGGTTAACAATATTTATTCTTGGAACGGCATGTTTTTTTTTCGGTTCTACAAGTCCGCGGCGAACACGAGAGTACTGTTTACGATGTTGATGAATGGAAATACACAGGCTAGACAAGGCTATGATTTCGCTAGTCTTATAACAACTAGATCTTTACGAAATGATTTTCGTTTGATGATTTGTAAAACAAATCAGAAAGAAAAAATAATGTCAGGAAAAATAAATGTTGACAACAGAAAGCTAACGAGCTAACTGATCACAGGAAAATTTGTAATTAAAATAGACCTGAAAAAAAAAATAATGTCGGGAAAAAATAAATGTTAACCATAAAGAGCTAACGAGCTAACTGATCACAGGAAAAGTAAATTTAAAAGTTTAACGAAAAAACAAATGTGACAAAAATATCAGGATTTGAAGAGAGAATTAGAAGAATGTCGGGCGTGAAAAACATTGACTTGTTACCGGTTGTACTAAGAAACGTATACAGTTCCTCGAAAAACCGGGGTTTAAGGTTAAGATAACAGCCTGCTAGAGAAAAATGCGCTATGAGGAAAAGTCAGGATTCTGAGGAGGGTGCTTGACTTCTAAATAACTGGAGAGTGTCCCCAAGGGACCACTGGTTTTTTTTTATGACTCGCTCCATTTGGATCTATTTAGGCATGAGCTCATAGCTAAATAGCTAATAATAATTATGTAAATAATAATAATTTTATTTTTATTTAATAACAATGATAATAGCAATAACAATTATAATACAATTATATTAATAAAGTCAAATTCTTTTGGTAGGTTTTATATTTCACAAGACATTTTTTGTTCTACTAGTGCTTCTTATTTTCTTTTTTTTTCTTTTTCTTCTTTCAGTTGTCTATTTGCTGGCTAAACGCAGATATGGATCCATTAGACGTAAGTTTTTCTCACAGCGACATACGTAGGTCTCAAAGCGCAAAGATCTACTTCATTAGATCAAGAGTTGAGACACTAATCCTATAAGCTACAAGTGCGACGAAAACTCATCAATACCTATGCACCACCTTAAATGTCCATGGTGCAGCCTTTCTTATTCTGGCATCCTCTGCACTAAATAGAACGGTTAAGGAGTTAAGGAGTGCTTAAATGCGCTTTGCAGGTTTTTTGGAGCTGAATAAGACTGGTGATTAAAGAGTGTAATTCACTCCTAAAGGCCTGCAATTCATCAAAGTCATGCGCAGTTTTATGCCCAGTTAAAACTCTCCCAAATGAGTGGATTGTTTTTTTTTTTAAGTTTTCCTTTAGTTTTTTTTTTTCTAAAGTTTCAATTGATGTTTCGACCTTTCTTATGTCTAAAATGTTTTGCTCTATATTGTGAATACTAACACTTTTTTTATTCCAATGAAAAAATTGTCTCAAAGTTACGCTCATATGGATTCTCACGATGCAATATTTAAATACTCGAAATGTTATTACAGGGGATGGTTATAATTTTTTGGGCACACATTTTTGGAGGCGATGACATGAACAAATAGAATTTAACCATATCTTGCCTTTGTCTTCGTCAACAAGAGATCTGGGCGCCGCGACAATTCTTCTTAATACAATGCTTCTGCGAAGGGTACACGCAGAAGCAAGACCCGCATAAAGTTCTTCCAAATTAACTTTCTCACTGACGCTAAGAAACTTCTTCCCATCCATATAGTTAAGAAATCGTAGTTAACAAAGGTTATTTGCTTTTCCTATTTAGATGAATGAATTTATTGAGCAACTGCATTCCACCGAGACTCCGGTAAACTTTACTGAAAACTGACGTTGTTGTAAATAGGCGTTATATGTCTTATATAGCTGTTTGCCAATATGTCCTATTTAATTTGCTAAGGAGGAAAGTAGTGATGACAGTGGGAGTTACAAACCAGAAAGTGACGAGAGTAGCTCTTCAGAGGAGGATGAGGAGGATTGTGACCTTGAGGATGAATCACCAGAAGTTTTAACAATGTTCAGTATCAGTCATTAATATACAGCATCGACTAGTGGTCAGTGACATAACATTGATCCAAGGCGCGTTTTTAAAAATACCTAAACAAATTTGTTCAGATTGAAATATAATTCCGCGTGTTATTTTTTTCAGAATTGTAGGCCGCTTAAAGTCATTCACATTTAACAAGAAGACTGACCAAGCTTGGGCTAACACTTGTAATTTCGAAAGAATGATTATTACCTTTCTTCGCTGATATAGGAAAACAATGCCGAAAACTAAAAAGAGAAGAGTTTTCTATTCCCTGTCTAGTTTGAGACAAACAAGTAGCCTTAAAAAATTAATTATCATAGAGTGATAGCTAGTATAATTAAACTGATAAGTGAAAAGACATCTCAGAAAGCAACTATTTCTCATTTTTTGCTTTACTTGTTGTCTAGGACCCAAACCAAGTAACAGTGAAGGAAGAAGAAGGGAAATGTGGTCCTATCGGAAGCAAAACAACCAGGCAAAAAAAACGGTGCCCTCTTCCTTCATGTGATTCGATCGTTTACCATATCCCCCGTCATCTTAAAGAAGTTCATGGTTGGACCAAAGAGCTTTCTCGGACTGCTCTTTCACGATTTGGTTTAAGGAAGAGCTACGCATACACGGAACCCAGCAAGGTTACAGCAAAGAAAAAGAAACCAAACCCAGAAGTCAAAGTAAAATCGGAGGGCGAAAAAAAGGCTAAAGATTACCACCATTATCGTTACTGCCCAGTCGGTGGGTGTACCTCACTAGTAAAACGCCTTCCTCCTCATTTAAAGAAAGTACACAAGCTAATTTCAGGGTCCAAGGATCACAAGGAGGCCATGTCAAAAGTAAGAGGTCCCATAAGAGATTCACAACGAAGGCCTTATCACGAAAGACCAAGGCGTACAGCTGAATCTTGTGAAACTCCATCAGAGCATCCTTCCTGTTCTTTTGAAGTAGAGGTTATCAGCAGCGAAGAAGAAGAAAAGGGCAGTGACAAGTCCGCTAAAACAACACATCAAGATATGCCCTCTCAGCTTGTCAGTTTTGAAGCCTGGCTACAATCGGCCGATGGTGGGAAGCTGGATAAAAAGACCAGTCGACAACACACCAAGCAAGTCTTCAAGCTCTTGAATGCAATAGATGCGAAGCGTAAATTGTTATCGCTGTTCGATGCCCGCCTCCTAAATGACAGGTTCCTCGAGGGACATGTAAGCAAAGAATACTCTCCCAAAACCGTCCAGTCATACTTAATGAGCCTTCGCCACTTTTTCTCGTTCTCTTTGACGGATGATGCAGATGTACCTATTTCCAAGGAGGCGATCATCTCCCTAAGAGATAAAGTCACACGTTGGTCCTCGTCATATCGGGTACAATGCTCAAAGCGTCACTGGGAGAAGATGAAAGAGGATTATGAAGCTCTAATAACTCCTGATCAAATCAACGAGTTCGAAAGAAGCAAAGCTGCAAGGGACGCAATTTGCTTATTAGGCCAGCTAAGCGGTGCCCACAACATTGTCATAACTCAAGCTCAGTACACGCTGATTCGTGATTTTTTGCTAGTTGAAATATCCATTGACAACGCTAACAGGGCGGGTGTTCTAGCAAACATGACAGTGGAAGAATTCAACAGTGTGACGAAAGAGAATGATGATTACCTGGTTCTTGTAAAGAGGAGTAAGACTTTGTCTACCCATGGCCCAGCCAGGATCGTTTTAAGTCCAAAGTTGAAGAGCTGGATACAAATCTACATCCGGGAGGTGCGTTCACAGGCTGCTGGTTCAACTAATCGGCCAGACGATTCTGTATTTCTTTCATTCTTCGGAGAGCCAATGGTCTCGAGTCAGATCAATAAAGCTATGAAGTCTGTTTGGAAGAAGGCTGAAGTGGAGGGTGCGCCCAGTTCTACCCTATTTAGGAAATCGGCCGTCTCCAACATTCACAGCTGCAATGACAGTAACGAAGCACGCGAAAATCTAGCTGACTTGATGGCGCACAATATTTCAACGGCAAAGAAGTACTATCGACTGCAGGAGAAATCGAAGTCTTCTGTTCTCGCCTCCAAACAGCTTCGCCAAGTGATGCGTCAAGATACAGAAGAGAGTTCAAGCAAGACCAATTCAGATAAGATAGAGACGCCCAGAGATCCTATATCGAAATATTACGGTCTGCAGGAAAAGAGCAAATCTTCTGTTGAAGCATCAAAACAGCTGCGCACCGTTATGCGAGGACTAGACCAAACAGACAGACCAGACAGTCCTCCTCTTTCCTCCAACCCACCTGCTTCAGATTCCATAGCTCCTAAAACTTCAAGAACTTCATGGGATGAGGACATGGCAGATGCGATCAAGACTCTTTTCAAAGATGAAATTAAAGATAAAGCTATTACTTTGCAAACGGTGAAAACCAAAATTTCTGATCATCTGCAGCTGAAGGAAGAAGACCCCAAAAGAGTCTTGGACAAGGTACGTGCCTTTTGGCGTTTCAGTAAGTCTCCTTCTCCAGAAACTCCATGCCTTCCAACTGAGGTGGAAACACTAGACAAACGTGTGTCAAGGATGCTTCCAGAGGAGAGTGAGACCTCTAGTGATATCATTCCACCGACTGTGTCAAGTAGCGTAAGGAACGTTTTTAAAGCAACCGAACTTCAAGGAATAAAGAACCTTTTTGTTGAAATGTTAGAACATTCAGCGCCAATATCAAAGCCCCAAATTAAGAAGTGCCTGGATAAGGAAGACTGGGGTCAGGAAATGTTGAAGAAAGTTTTCCTGGACACCGTCGTGAACCGGATAAAATATGAAAGGCGTCTAAGGAGGGCTTCTAAAAAGTGAGGAAAAGCTAGATTGCCGGGGGACACCTTAAGCGGTACATCACCATGCATTGCGAATATTTTCACACAACATGCATTCTTTTTTTTTTTGACTTGATTTAAAATTACCGTGTAGAAAATTGGAAGCAAATGTATGAAAATTTACAATACCGTGTTAGAAATTGTCCTCCGAAGATTCAGGTTTTAAAGTTTTAAGTTGCTTGTGTTTGAGGTCGAGGAGGTCGATTTGCCTAGACGTCTAGCCGCTGGCTAGATCAAATTGTTCAAAACGTTCGACATGGTTGAATACTACTTTTAGGGTGATTTATATTTTGTGCTCATGTGAAACCCATATTTAGGGTGGACTTCCACTGCTGACGGACTGCTGTGTAATTTTCACTTGCGAACGCACGTAAATTTTTTGCGTAAATTAAACGTGCAGGTTGAGCAATGTTCAACTTTTTCGTTTACGCGCGACTTTCCATACATTGTCTCTATTTTGTTTACGCGCGTAAAATTTACGTGTAAACGCACGTAAAAATTACGCAACAGTGGAAATCAACCTTAAGGGTAGATTTCCTGACTGCCGCGTAATTAACTTTTACCTGCGTTCGCGCGTAAAGTTTGCTTTTGCAAATAAAGTAGAGGCAATGTATGATAGGTCGCACGTCAACGTAAAAGTTTAACTTCGCTCAACTCCACGTTTAAGCTCAACACACTAAATCTTCCCTCTAATTATTAACGCGAGTAAAATTTACGCGCATGTACACGCACGTAAAAATTACGCGACAGTTTAAATCCACCCTTACAAAATTAAGTGTTTCTACGTGGAGGACAAGATACAAAGTTGCTTCTTTGCTGGCAACAAAAAAAATTACTAGCTGCAATATAAATATGACTTGTTAATGAGCCATTCAGGATCCGCCGCGGATAGGTCTTGAGCGCCCAGTATTGTTCTAAAATTATTTTAGGGCAAAAATTTCCGGTTTAGCCTGTTAATGTTCTGTTTTAGTTCATGTTAATCATTTTGAAATCAGTGGTGACGGTGTCCTTATCAAAACTGTTTAATTCAAAACAGACGTTCTTATTAATAATCTTGTACCCAGATCTCTTGTTGACGAAGTCGAAGACGAGATCTAGTCAAATCCGATTTCGCACGTGATATGTGACACTGCGATAAAAGAGCACATGCTTGAAATAAATCCTCAAAACTGTGGCTATTTTTTCCGTGTTAAACAACGAATTTAATGGAACCGTGAAGGTTTCTCTAACAAAAGGTGGTTATACGTGCAGCTTTCGTATGAACCAACAAATTTGTTGTTGTTCTTTGTAACTTCAAATTAAATGCGGCACTTAGATTAAATTTTTTTTATCATAGCGAGCGCCAAAAACTCAAGGCGGTACGCGTCAACTTCTACGAGAGAATTTTACTTATTTAAAAGTCCGCTTTATATTTAAAATGAGTTTACAAGTTATATTGAGAGGGAAAACAAGGTGAAGACTGAAGACTTCGGGTTAATTTCCACTGTCGCGTAATTTTTCCGTGCGAAGGCGCGTAACTGAAATAGAGGCAATGTATGAAAGGCCACGTGTAAACGTGAAAGTTGAGCGAGGTTTAACTTTTACGTTTACGCATGACCTCCCATACATTATCTTGATTTTATTTTATTTACGGGGCGGCGAAAAATTTACGTGCGTACGCACGTACAAATAACGCGACAGTGGAAATCCACCTTTAAGCACACACCATAGCGCGCGCAGAAGACACCTCTCGCGTCATTCTCTCACATTCTCCAATCCAAGAAAATTGAATTTTCTTACGTTACCAGATCTCGCCTTCGGCTTTATAAACAAGAGATCTATGTACGAGACTTTCTTATTAAAACATGGCAGTATATTGCTATTGGTCAGTGTAGGTTTCCTTCTTTTTTGATGTTGTTTTTTGCATGGAGCAAAAATTACACTCGTTATGTCCCATTAAGGAGTTGTTTTGTTTTTCTTTTTCTACAGAGGTTATTGGGTGTATTTCAGTTTTTTCTTTAACTTCGTTACATTGCCCCGCAACATTTTAAGCTCGCGTTAGTGAGGGATTCATCCATCATTCCAGCTAAATCAAAAAAAAAAAAAATGAAAACGTTTGATACTTTAATATATGTATATTGCGTTGTGTTGGAAAGAAATGTTCATCGAGTTGCAGGTTCTGCTTATTCCTCTTCATTAATTTTACCACCTTAACTTTGTAATGGTTAACTTTATTTTCAAATAAACAATTATGTTAGATTCTTCCAGGTATGTCAACAGCAGTGACTGAATTGCATTATTTTTCTTCTCGTGAGTTTTCCTGTTTGTTACATTATCTAGTCATCCTAAAATACAACCAAATATAGATCACTTAGTAAGGTCCCATACCCTCACCCCGGAAGTACTCCCTATAATGGCCCATACGGGGCGGCTCTGCCCGAAAGGGGTACCTTTTACAAGCTTCAGGCATATGAAAGGGTAGGAATTTCACAACCTGAAATATATAAAAGGGTAAGGAAATCTTTATTACTAAAATCATTGAAAGTTACTCAAAAAATTCCTTAGTTACAAAAGTGCCCCATTCGTTACAAAAGTGCCCCATTTGTTACAAAAGTGCCCCATTCGTTACAATAGTTCCCTGTTGTCGTTACAAAAGTGCCCTAGTTACGTTACAAAAGTTCCCGTGAGTTACAAAAGTTCCCTACCTTGGTTACAAAAGTTCCCTATCCCGTTACAAAAGTGCCCTTTTTTAGTTACAAAAGTGCCCTTTCTTATGGCTCTCTCTCTCTCTCTCTCTCTCTCTCTCTCTCTCTCTCTCTCTCTCTCTCTCTCTCTCTCTCCCCCCTCCCCTACCGCCCTATTATTTATCTGTCTCTCTGTAAAAAAAAGAGGTTGCGTCATATAAACGTATTTTATGTTTTTTTTTCTCTTCCTGTATAAAGAAAAATAACAGAATGGTATAAGGAGCGTAGTATGTTGAGAGAGTGAAAAGACCGGGTCCGTCCCGAAGATAAAANACAGGGTATCCGCTGACCAGTATCACCTGACCGTATCGCGGGCTCAGGTGTCGACCCATCAAGGTCCAGTAATTTTTTGAAGTTATCCGCTGACAATTTACTCGTTTTCAAATGATCGCAGGCTCACGTTTACTTTTTTTTAAAACTCAAATATGTTGTGTTTGTCAGTATCGCCCCGCACTATTACGATTCTGATGTCAAAATGACCTCAGACACAAAAATTCAGACCTTTTCTAACCATGGTCACGTGTTGGTCACGCTCCACGTCCAATTTTTATGCTCTGATTGGTTAAAATTTGACAGGTGAGTTCATACGTAAAATTCATGCAGCATCTCGAACGTTGTTTACTTTGACAGCTGAAGCTGACAGACTTTTGAGTCAACTTGTGATGTTTTTAACTGTCTTTTTCCTCTGGATGTAAGAAAATGAAATACAGCTGCTATCAAGAGTGTTCTCTTATTCATGGCTGGTTTGTTTACTGGGTTTTTCGTTGAGAAATGCGTCGCTTGTCAAAGCAGATAATCCGATTTCGAATGGCATCGTTTTTGTTTTTCACCTTGCTGGATGCGTACGAGAATTATAAGGATTATAAAGGCTCAAGCGATCCTTGCCTTACTTGATAGCTTTCAGGAGCTGCATCTCGAAATATGGTAAGCCTGAGTAATTATTGTATTTATATCTAATTTCATGAAGTCCAGCGGCGCAGTTTATGAAGGTAGTTTATGCACGTTTGTATTAAGATTTGACTGAGACACTGATCTGACCTAGTAAGAGGTTTGATATAAGCTTAAGCTCACAGAACTTTAAAAAGCCTTTAGTCGATATTAATTCACCGTAAATAGAAGGAAAAAACTTTCCGAAAAATATCAGTTATGATTTTGGCTGTAGAAAGAAAGCTTTGAGCGATTTTCTTGTCGTGAGTTCATCTTTGAAAAAAGCAAACACCGGGAAACCGGCGGCTTAAAACATAAACTTAAACTTTAAGCTTACTAGTAAAGACTTGAGGATTCTTAGAGACACTTAAATACTCATTTGTTTTCGTGAATGGAAATTGTTGTCTCTGTAAATGTTCTACCGAATTTTATTTCTTTATTGATTGTTGGTAGTCTCAAAAGTGTAATTTTCATGACTTTGCCGTTTGTTTTCAGCCGTTCATAAACATCGCTTGCAGGAGTACTCAAAATGCCGAGCGTATCAAACGCTTTTTATTACACGTCGTTATAAAACCATTAATAAAAAATAGACTCAACAAATTCTTTATCACGTTGAAGCGTAACTCTTTTAAAATTTCTTCGCAAATTTGGCGCTTGTCAAAAGTTAGAACCGGCTGGCCGTATAGGTGATTTTGGACATTTTTTGAACGGTTTCGCTAATTAAAAGTCCACGCGTGCTTCGATAGTCCTGAGTATTGAATGAATGCAATTTGTATAGGTAATCACATGATTTCGAGTGCAATTTGGAATAAAATAAGCACGAGTAAATTTTTCAAAGACCAACAAAAGTGCACGAGCACGTAGGGCGAGTGCACTTTGTGTTACTTATTAATAATATACACGAAAAACTTAACTACAACAACAAATTTTGACAGCGCGCGCGTTTTTAGTTCATTCAACTGATTGGCTGAAACAGACTACTACCTTTGTCGAATTCAAACTTTTTCAAGACTAACGCTTTCAAAATCATTTTAGCTAAGAACCTAGAAATGTGCAAGGATTGATTTTATATGGTCACCAGCCTGTTAAAGATAACTTGGTTTACAATAATCAGCAAAAGTAAGTGTTTTTAAATTCATCCTCGATTATGAGAGCTCGGCGTTTACAAGAAGTATACTGCCGTTTTCAAATCAGGAGAACGCTTCGCGCACCCAAACATAAAAGACTTGCTAAGGTTTTTTAACGACTGTTCATGATTGTCTGTTCCTGAGACCCCATCATAGCTGGATTCATGGAGAAATTTTTGAGATTTAAAACCCGAAAGTGAAGG